CTCAGCAACGAGAAGGGGGGATCAGCAAGTGCCCAATGGCCCCCTACGGGCGACCACTCGATTGCGAATGGGTGACCGACCAGCGGCGCCAGCCAGACTAGACAATACTCGACGCAAAGTGCACCCCACGCGAAGGCTGTCAGGAATCCCGGAATCCCTGGAACGTATCAATAGCACGTCGTGTCAATAGATTCTCCTCGTCCTATCTCCCTCCGTCAGCTCTCATGGGCGTCGTCTCTGGATGGGCTGGTGGTGATGCGCGAAGCGTCCATGATTGAAAAGCTGTGCTACGCTATGATATGCGTTGTCGTGTCCTGGAATGCACTTCGCATGCGGGGTCGCGCGGGGGTCTTTGGTGTCAGGTCTACTCCGTTGTCGCCATTTGCTCTGCGCCAATGTTCGGGCTCAAGCAACGTTGCTTCCCCGCGCCTTCGAGCCCAGGGGCTCAGGATGTCGCCGAAGCAGAAGCAGACGCCGACCCCTCGCGCCCCGACGCGGGGCGGTAGCAGCGAGGAGCTGGCAAACGCCATCAAACCGTTTGCCGCCAAGGGGCCCGCGTTCTTGAAATATGGGGACGAGCTCGCAGCGCCGCCGCTGCAAGTGGCGCAGACCACCAGGGCCGACCGAGTGCTTGATCGAGGCGCTGGGGAAAGTCGACCGCGGACTTTGCTTCAAGCAGACCACGACAGAGGGTGCGACGAAGAAAATCGCCGCGGACCTCAACGAGACGCGGGGCACAAAGGTAAAGGGCAGCAAGATGGACAGCTGGGCCGCACTGGCAGCGCGCAGGTCTAGCACAGGCGTTGCCCGCTGGCGCGTGGCGCGCGTCTAGGAGAAGCAGCCCGAACGGTTCGTCGACGTGGTGAACGGCGGCGGTGGCGATGCCAGCGGCGGCGATGACCAGTCCAGCTGGCGGGCGTCTGGGTTGCCCGCAGTGGCAAGCGACCCTCCCGAGTCCGAGAGCAAGGGGGGCGAGCAGGGAGGAGGGCGGGGGGGATGTGGACGGCGAGGGGGCCGAAGACGGCGAGGAGAACGAGGGCCGCTGGAGGGCGAGGCCAACGTCGCCGAGGGCGAGGCCACGACGGGCGGCGCGGCCAGCGCGACAGGCGACAAGGTCGCGGAAGGCGGCGCCCCAAGCGAGATCGTCGGCGAGGCGGCTGCGGATGCGACGGCCGCCGCGGCTGGCGCCGCGTCGCAGGCCGCGCGGGCCGTCCAGCCACCCCCAACTCCGATTGTTGCGACGCGTCCCGGTTCTGCTTCGCGCGCGCTGCGCTGCGTGGCGGCGGTTTTGCGTTGACGCGCGCGCGCGTTTGTCTGCTTTTTGCAATCGCGCTGCGATGTGCGGCGGCATTCTTGTTTCGACGCACGGGCCTGTCTATTTCCGCGGGCGAGCGCGTGTTTGTGGTTACCCCATTGCAGTGGCAACGCCTTTGTTTGTCTCGCCCGGGGTGATGGTTTGCCCCCTTCGTTCGATGCGTTCTTCGGACGCCGCGGTCGCCCGGTTGCGTGGCGCAGCGTAGCTTTGCAGGTTTTTTTTCGCTTTGCCGCGTCACAGCAGGCGGCGAAGCGCCGCGCCCCCGCCTCGTTGCTCAATTCACTCGCGGCGCGGCTTTCAGCGCCGCGCGGCAAGGCGCGCTCTGCGAGCGCGAATTGTTGAGGCGGGCGCTGTCCAAGACCGCAATCTTTTGCTCCTATGCCACCCCCCATGTCCCCTTGTCTCCAACCGTTCCCTTTTTATCCCCGTTCCTTGTCCTTTCCTCCAGCTGCCTCGACGCTGCGCCGCCGCTGCGCCGCTGCCCTTTTGCGCGAGGCTGCTGTCTTTGGGGTCCTCTTGGGGCGGGTCTTTTCGACGCGCGCTCGCCTGGGCCTCCTCAGTCCCAGGGCGGACCCTTTCCTCCAGTGGCGTTCCCCCCTCTGGCGCATCGCGCGGCGCGTTCGCTGGCGCGCCCCGTGGCGCATATGCACAGTGGCGCGTCCCCAGGGCACGTTCCCCGGCGCGTCCCCTGGCGCGTCCCCCTGGCACATCGCCCGGCGCGTCCCCTGACGCGCCCACGTCCGCTGGTTCGTTCCGTGGCGCGTCTCCTGGCACGTCCCCTGACACGTCCACTGGTTCGTTCCGTGGCGCATTCCCTGACGCGTCATTGTGCGGCGCAGCACAGCGCAGAGCAACACACCACAGCCCATGGCACAGTATCATCACGATTGATACTTTCAGTGCTGACATTGCCCATCGCCGAATTGAGGTGCTTGGGCATGTTCCCAAGCTTCGTTCGCAGTTTTAAATCCATTTCTGGCTTTGTGCGTCGATCATGTTCGGCCATATTGGGCCATCCTGGACGGTCCAAACATGGGCGGGGCGCCTCCTCCAGATTCTGGGGGGGAAGGGAGGGGGAGGGGCAAAACAATCCCCGAATGGGTAGGAGGGGGTCTGAAGATGAAACGCCCTAGACTTCCTCAACCTACCGGGCTGATGGAGTTCCAGCCTCGAAGATTTTGCGTTGTGGGAAATCCGCGCTTGTAGTAGTCGCGAGGGGTCTTCGCGGCGTCAGAGCCCAACGCCCACGTCATGACGACGTGAACCCCCCTTACGACGGGTACGCATATATGGCGCAACCGTTGCTGTTGTTGTTGTTGTTGTTGTTGTAGTTGTTGTTGTTGTTGTTGAACATTATTTATTCTAAAGAATAATTATTGTTGGGGCCCCTGGTGCGCGCCCCCCTCGCCGCGCCTAGGCCGCAGCCACATGTTCATCATTCTTCAGGCAAAACGTGGGTGTCCGGATCCGGTTGTTTTGTTGACGCCCGCTTTCCCTTGCAAAAAACACTATAAAATGAAATTTCTTGTTCTAACATAACCAAACTTCAAGAATCCTTTGAAAAAATGACACGAAGTGCACACTCGCGCGCGCAAGATGAAATCCGTCCAAAACCTTAGTTTTCGTAGCGATTTTAACATAAAAACATGAAAAACCCAATGGTTTCTCAAAAAAAAAAAAGTTTCAAAAATTCATCCCGCGCGCTCTTGCGGATTTCTGAGGAAACCCAATATTTTTTCAACATTTCTGTCAAACGGGCTCTTGCGAACAACTTTTTCACGTGCTTCGAACTTCTGCAACAACGGTTGCGCGCATGCCAGGGCCATCATCCCTGTCAAATAATACCATATTGGACACATTCGTTTTTTCTTCGCGCGCGCACGCCGTCGTCGTCGGCCGCGGGGCCCTGAATAGTAGCCACGGTCGTCCGCATGCCACGAAGTGAAGTGTCCGAACGTCATAGGGCGGGAAGCTGGGTGTGGGTGGTGGCGAAGAGTCGTTTGGAAATTTGGTAGAGCTTGAACCGGCCCCCCCACAAAGTGGGGGTATTGCCCGCCTCCTATGAAAACCCTGGCACTGGTGAGAACGGAGTGTCCCCAGTCTTAAATGATTGTTGTTGTTGTTGTTGTTGTTGTTGTTGTTGTTGTTGAATATTATTACTTCTAAAGAATAATTATTGTTGGGCCCCCTGGTGCACGCCCCCCTCGCCGCGCCTAGGCCGCAGCCACATTTTCATCATTTTCGTGAGGAAGTCTCAGGCAAAACGGGGGAGTCCGGATCCGGTTGTTTTGTTGACGCCCGCTTTCCCTGTCAAGAAACAGTATAAAATGACATGTCTTTTCTAACATAACCAAACTTCAAGAATCCTTTTTGCAAAAAGTGACACGAAGTGCACACTCGCGCGCGCAAGATGAAATCCTTCTACAACCTGAGTTTTCGTAGCGATTTTAACATAAAAACATGAAAAACCCAATGGTTTCCCCCCAAAAAAAAGTTTCAAAAATTCATCCCGCGCGCTCTTGCGGATTTCTCAGGAAACCCAATATTTTTTTCAACATTTCTGTCAAACGGGCTCTTGCGAGCAATTTTTTCGAACTTCTGCAACAACGGTTGCGCACCTGCCAGGGCCATCATCCCTGTCAAATAATACCATGCGGGACACATTCGTTTTTTCTTCGCGCGCGCACGCCGTCGTCGTCGGCCGCGGGGCCCTGAATAGTAGCCACGGTCGTCCGCATGCCACGAAGTGAAGTGTCCGAACGTCATAGGGCGGGAAGCTGGGTGTGGGTGGTGGCGAAGAGTCGTTTGGAAATTTGGTAGAGCTTGAACCGGCCCCCCCACAAAGTGGGGGTATTGCCCGCCTCCTATGAAAACCCTGGCACTGGTGAGAACGGAGTGTCCCCACGTGCTAGTAATTGTTGTTGTTGTTGTTGTTGTTGTTGATGTTGTTGTTGTTGTTGTTGTTCACTGCTGTCGGCTCGGTTGTTCTAGCTCGAGCATTCCGTATAATTCCAGTGGTTTGATCATTGTCGAACCGGTGTTTGTGATCATGTTTTGTTACACATGTTATTTGTGTTGCATGTTGGGTGCGCCAGCAGAAAACATATAATACCGATAATACAAGCGCCCCCCAGAGTTCTGAATCAAATGTCTGATCATGATTTGCACAGGCTGACACCAGCGAACCCGAGCGCGTTTCCATACGAAATATGGGGTCGAGCACGTGGGGGCACCCAGCAATTTTAGGGTGGTTCGGAGGCCAGGTGGGCAAATATCTTGGGGGGCCTCGCAACAGTACGGCCCAGGTGGCACGTGAGCGAGATCCCCAGATCTCCTTGGCCCCCCCCCGTCAAACGGCATTCTCACAGCCTACCTCGTGCCTCCCCTCCTCCCTCCATCGCCTCCCCCGTCCTCATGCTTCCTTTCCTCCTCGACCGCTCGGGGGGGATGGGGGGGGCGCTCACGGCCAAAGTCGGCCCTCGAGACCGACCCGGGTCGGCTTCCTGTTGAAGCCAGCCCGTCCGCAAATTGCCCGCACCCCCCCCACCTTCCATCCCCCTCTCTCCCCTCTTAAGTCCCGCTCTCGCTCCTGCTCCTGCTGTTCCTTGTCCTGTTCTTGCTGTTCATCGTTCTCCCCCTCCTGTCCATGCTGCTCACCTGCCCTCCGCCCCTGTCCGCCCGCCAGATGGGAGCTCCTGAATTTCGGCCCCGGGGAGAATCTCGAGCACAAGGGCGCGGCTTTCTTGCGGCAGAAGGGCCTAAAGGCGCTCCTCTGTCATGAGCTAGGGGGATTGGGGAGGAGCAGGGTCGAGGAGAAGGCGGAGGAGGAAGAGGAGGAGGAGGATGGAGGACCCGTTAATTGAAGTGGTCGGTTTAGGAGCATCTACAGGGGTCAGGAAGAATACGATGATCAGTTTAAGAGAAGTGCCAGGGATTGTGGTTGCGGCTGAGGGGTTGCCGTGCCTTGAGCAGAACTTTGGAGGGAAAATGAACGGTACGTGTGTAGGAGGTCGTAATTAGGGTGCGGGCGTGAAAAGGGGTCAGGAGGGAGGACGTTGAGAGGAGGGATGGATATCAGGACGTGTTAATGTGGATGTGCTAGGCTGGTGGGCATTTTAACGTTTATCGTGCCATGAGGGTGACTTCAAGAGAAATGTTGAGGCGGATGCGCTAAGAAGTAATTGGGCGATGCACACATTATCTGTGGGATCATGGTGTCCTTGCCTCCCGTTCTGTCCTTCCCGCCGTTCTCCTATGGTCGACATTTGTGCATTCTTCAGACTTGGCTTATCCCCACCAGTCCATTCACAAACCCTGCCCATGAGAGTTGACGTGAAATGGGACGAATAGACACATGTAGTCAAACAAAGCGAGCAACCGTGAACAAAGAACATTCTGGGACCTTGGAGGGCCTATTCGGGACACCCTTGGCCCTGGGGCCCGCGTGGGAGCGAGGGAAGGAGGAGGCGGAGGAGGAGAACGACGACGGTGACGACTCGGTGACGACCACGACGACGAGAAAGAGGAGGAACGGAACAGGAAGACGACGAGGGCAAGGACAGGGACGAGGACGAGTAGGAGGAGGAATATAACAACGAGGACGAGGACAGAGCCCGTCATGATCGCCTATTGACGCCCTTGGGGCTCGTCTGGGGGATCGTGGGGTCATCTGGGGGCTCCCTCGTGGAGCCCTCTTGGGGGTCCTGTGGCAGCCCTGGAGGGCCTTCTGAGGCCATCTTGGAGGCCATCGATCACACGGAGGGGAGGTCCTCGATTTGGTTTGCCCCCTGGGAACATCGAAATCGCCTGTTGGGGCCATCTTGGGGCACTCTTGATCAGCTCTTGGGCGCTCTTGGGGCCGTCAGGGGGGCTTTTTGGACCCTTATTTGAGTCTCTCTTGAGCCATCTTGGGTGTATCTGGAGGCCTCCCAAACACATCGGAAGCGACGCACATGCGAGGCATCAAACATTATTGATATGTCATGGGTGTTTGAAGGATTTGGGCCTCTTGGGTTTGGTCCTGGGGGGTGGCTCCGAGAACATTTGGAATCGTATTGAGGCCCTCGTCGGGCCTCTGAGAGGTATGTCGGACATGATCTTGAACCATCGATTGTTACCTTGAACCATTGTGAACACCCTTTTGGAGCATCGGCCCTCTTGGAGCCATCACGGGCGAAAAAGGACCTCCTGAAACGTCGCGGTCCGCCCGAAAACACCTCAGGGAGGGGAGGGGGAGGGTGCCCTTCCGCGGCGGAAGGGGGTCTTGGGCAGAGGAACGACAGAACTCGTTTGACCACCTTGGCCCAAATCGCTGGCGGGATGAGACCTGGGGCCTCCGTCCGGGAGTGGAACAGACCGTGGTGGTCTCTAGCAGAGCAGTCACTCCTCCTGCTCTTCACGTCTCCCTTCCTGCTCTCCTCATCATCACTCTGCGCCAGCGGTCGGTGCCGCTCTCGGGAGAGCAGCGTTGCCCCAAACTTGTACTCGCAGCAGCTTGCCAAGGAAACCATCTGTCCTGTCCCCTGCCCACCCGAAGCTCTCGCTGGTTACACCCTCCTTAGGCGAGTCTCTCCCGAGCCGAGGAGGAGACAGAGGAAGAGGGGCCTTACGATGCGGGAGTAGGGAGGGAGGGAGGGAGGGAGGGAGGGAGGGAGGGAGGAGGAGGAGGAGGAGGAGGATGAGGAGGAGGAGGGAGGGAGTGCGAGGAGGGAGGGAGGGAGGGAGGGAGGGAGGAGGAGGACGAGGACGAGGAGGAGGAGGAGGAGGAGGAGGGGCCTTACGATGAGGGAGGAGGAGGAGGAGGGATGGAGGATGAGCGATGACTCTCGATGTGCTCCTTACGTGATGATCTGACGTGATCCCTCCTTTGCTCCCCTGCCGACCGTCCCCAGCTCCCCCACTTCCTGGTCGTCCCTGTTTCCGTCCCCCCCCCCGTCGTACGCTTCCTCTTCACCCGTGAGGCCTGAGGGCTCGGACCTCTGTGCGACCTCTCCGTGACTTCAGAAGCCTCCGGTGGCCTCGGGGGACCTCCGTGCCCAGTGGGCTGGTGCCGGGGACCGCGAGAGACCGCCGGAGGCCCCCAGAGACTCGCTCACGCTCCGCCGTCCAAGGCATCCTGCTGCTCAGGGGTGGACCTAAACGGTGTTCTGGCGATTTCGGGGGCCGTTTGCATTTCGATTTCGTTTTGCGTCCAAAGGTGGAATGGAGACAAAAGGAGAAACAACGAAAACAAAACGAAAGCGAAAAACAGCGTCTAGGTTCAGCCCTGCTGCTTCTCATGACTTCCCCCCCCCACTCTGCCTCCCGTTGACCAGGGCCCTCTTCGTGGCGGCGCCCGCTGCAAAGAGACCCCTTTTCCACCACGTGCACGCTCAGGTCCCAGGCGCTGACCGCTAGCTTCCGTGTATGCCTCTGTCGTGGTTCTTTCGCGCGCGCCGGCGTGTTCGCGCGAGGCAGCGTTTCAGGCTGGGATCGTCTCGAAGATGCACGAAATGATCCAGATGGGCCAGGCCCGCGACAGAAGCGCCGATGCGGCCGTGGCGGGTGGAGCGGGCGGAGGGCGCCTGATCGGAGGGGCAGCTCATACGGGCTCTGGCCTGGACTGGAGGGGGGGTCGGTCGGGCACAGGTTCGGAGAGACGGAGAGTTCGAGCAGTGTCGACTGGCCGGGAAGGAGGGGGGATCCAGGAGGGGGTGGAGGGAGGAGAGGCAGTGGCAGAGGGTCAGGGGCGGCCGAACCGACCCCAAGCACACACCGTTCCCTTCCGTGACGTCCCCCTCGCCGCGCCCCAGGACGTTTGTATGCGGCCGGGGGGAAGTTTGAAAGGCGAGGATGACGCAACGGAAGGGAATGTTTTGCTAGGTGTCGGTTGGGCCGCGCCCGAGGGGCGGGGGTAAGCGCAGTTGATTCCGGAGAGTGAGAAGGAGCAACAGTGGCGAGGAGTATGAGGACGTGTTGCAGCAGCAGGAGGATCAGGAGGAGGAGGAAAAGTAGGATTTGGTGGAGGAGGATAAGGAAGATGAGAGGGGATACAGCAGGTTCATGCCGTATCGGCGTGGCGTCAGCGCAGGCGCGGGCGTTCCAGATTGACCACCGATGGGCTTTGGGTGTCCATTAAAGCTCGTTCAGTATGAAGCCAGAGCACACGCTGTCGTGGCAGGAGGTTGGTTGCCTTGCTCCTGTGTTCCTTTCTGAGCCCATTTGCCGCATCCAGGATTGAGCCCACTCGACGGTCCATAAGGTCTCGATATTTGCCACCCGGCTGCTGGATTCGAGCACATTCGGCTGTGCACTAGGCGGTCAAACAGGTTCGGACGCCGCCGAGTGGACCAAAGAGGGAGATCCACCGTATGGCCAGGGAATTCCTTGGAGCTTCCAGGGTTGCTTGCAGGGGGCTCCCATGATTCTTTCGATGCCCTGGGTCTCCCAATCCTCAGGTTCATGTGCGTTTTGTTGCCACCTCCGTCTGCTCATGCGGGGCGAGGATCATCCTGACGTGCCTGTCTAGGTTCCTGCGCCCTCGCGCGGAGCCCGCCGGGGCCGTGTTCCACGACCAGCGGCCCAGGGAGGAGGATCACGGATTGCGGATTTTCTGCCGTACTCGGTGTTGTTTTCGCGTGGGTAAAGCGTTTTCTCTCTTGCAGCAGTGTGCGTGATTAGTTGGATATGAGGTCTCTCATTCAGGTGCGAGAAAGAGGGGGAAAGGAAGAAAAAGAAGAAGAGGAAGAAGATGACGAGTAATCAGAAGGAGGAGGATGCTGGGCTGCGCCAGGGGGCGCCCGCTCCCTGGAGAAGTATGTGGGAGTTGTTTTGCCATCCTGGAACATCTTAGCGATATCGTGGCCTCTGGAGGCCTCGTTTGGGCTATCTTCGGCAATATCGGAGCTATTTGTTGTGCCCCGGGGGCCATCTTGAGGAGTGTTGGGACGCATTGTTGTCAGGTCGGGCGATGTTAGTTGTGTCTTGGGGGGTCCAGAGATCATGTATGGCAGTCTTCAAGCCATCATAGAACATATGCGGAGCACTATAGACGAGAAGCAGACCACGTTGAAACACCCAAGGGCATGCGTTCTTGGTATACTTTCTTGGTGCGTAGGCCTTATATGAGGCCGCTCTGAGGCCATCTTGAGTCAGTTTGGGCACTCGGGGTCCTCTGAGTCCTCTATAGGCCTTCCTAGGGCTCCGCCTGGCCGCCCAGCCCAATTGCGCCCCCAGTAAAGCTCTACGATTAAGTCGGGGCCGCCCCTCTACAGGAGGAATATTAAAAAGTTATAAAAAATAATCTGGAGACTATGTTTTAAATTGTTGTTGGCTATTTGGGTGTATTTTTCGAGTATTTGTTTTCTTCGTCGAAAATCCCCCTGTAGGGGGACACGCCCGACTTTAACTCTACGACGGCCCAGGGCGGCCAGGAGGCGCTGCTGGAGCCTCTGCGGGCAGGGGGGGCCGCCACACGGTGCCGGGCGGCGGCGAAGGGGAGGCTGCTGCTGGCGAAGGATCGGCACGAACGTAATGGGTACGGAAAGAATGGGCAGAATGCCCAACAGCAGTTCCTGTTCATTGTCAACAGGACCCGCTGTCCGCGCCGCCGCGGCCTGTGTCCATTCGAGACAAACGGCCGCCTGCCCAACAGCGGCCGCTGATGGTTTGGGACAACATTTTTGGGCACAATGCCCAACAGCAGTTCCTGTTCATTTTGA